AGCATCGCCTAGGTGGCTTTGTCAGTTCCCAACTAAGGCTTATCACGGTGTAAGACAGATAGCATACCTCCTTCACCACTGGTGCAAGCACCAGAACCACGGTCGAACCTAGCCCAACCACCGTCATAGACAGTGCCAGCGGGAACCTCAATGTACTTGCTGTTGGTCTTTGTGGAAGTCGCAGTGGGAACACCGCCCTCGTATCCGAGACAGGCAAGTGTGCTGGGTACAGCCGCCAGCAAAGCCACGATGCTAGCCTTGGAGAAGTACATGATGGCTAAAACCTGATTGATCACAATGCTGGAAGGCGGAATTGTAGCCAATCGTGATGAGAATGTAATGTTCTTGCTCAGTGAAGCTTCTAAGACTCTACCCAAAATGACAACATCGGACGATGAGCTCGCGTTATATAGAAGACTCAAGACAATTCTTCTTTGTCCACTCTCGCAGATTCCGAGTTAAGACAAAACTCAAGCTTAAGATATCACGCATAATCGATTGGTGGACTTATGGTGGAGGATCCTGACTCCTTGACGCCTCATGAACTGGATCCAAGATACTGTCCGAATCCTACGCTGAGAAGAACACACGATCAACAAAAACAGGAGATTCCATAGGCGATCCAATCATGTTCAAAAGTCGATGAGAAACCGTTGCGATTTCAAGGCTCAGAGATATGGCTGAGGGGGTAAGCCAAAGGGGCGCACGCGAAATAGGAAGGACTCTGGAGCTATTTCCCCTTCAATGGTAGTTTGTAGCTGCTGGCCCTTGTTTCGTGTGGTATTATAGAGCATTCAACCTGCGTTGCCAAGATCTAATCAGGATCCTGCCATGGCATTTTGTCAAAGGTCACATTATCTGCTTGATAGTGCCAAGAACAGCCATGTGGACGGAGAAATTGCCTACTACCGTGCGCCCCGGTCCGGGTCCCCGGTCCTGCAGATTTCCCCCAGTCAGAGCTCCTCAAAAGCTGTTCCGTCCGGAGCCCTTTACTGGGGCCGTATCGCGGGCATGTCACCGCAACCCATCGGGGCACCCAGGAACCCCGCCATTGAGCAGCCTTTGGTGACTGGACCATCGCTCTCAAGCAGGGGCTTGTTCGCCTAAACTGCCCGTATTGTAGTGTGGCGCCCGAACACTTGCATAGTGTGCCCAGTCATGAGAAATAGGTTAACTGCGAGGCGCAAGTTTCTTCTTTATCATCCATTATTGGGAGTTCTCAGACGTGAAGAAGCCATCAACCCAATGGTCCCAACTGTGGCGCTTGTTTCATGCACTCCGCTCGGGGTTGATAAGTGCCGGCAGATATTGGTTGCACCGACAGCGGGCCTGTAGAATTGGAGAATTGGCGCAGTCGCACGCAGACTGGCTTTCCGCCCTAAATTCATGAATAGAAGTTGTGCTAACTGCAAGCCAAGGCCGTCACTCACGCCACTCGCGCAACAAGGCCTTCCGCTCCTCCCAAGGGTACAGAAATGGGCAATAAATTGTCGGCTCCGTAGGTTAGTGGGCGTTGAATTAGGTAGAAAAACTTGTTCAACTTAGAAACAAAAGTTTCATGGAACTCCCAAAACCTCTCAGATGAGTTTGTTTGGGCATAAACCAGTCTTAGGTTTTGGAGCCGACCTGGAGAGGAAACGTCACGCCAAATGTCTTACGTTGAGATTTCTGAAGGTAACTTGACATAAGATGCACTATTGTCACGAAGTAATATTGGTTGCTGCAAAACTTGAGTTCAAGCCTGACTGAAAGCTGTGAAGCGAGTTGCGTGAGTGGTCAATCTTTCTTCCAGTGTTCGTCTTTCAACAGTCTAGACATAGCGACATAGGGATGTCGGTCAAAGCCATATTGAATCCTTGATGCCTTGATTGCTGACACAATCTGCGCCTGGAATAAATTATTTTTCACCTCGTTCGATCTATTCTTCGATGCACTCTCAAAACTGAAAAGGCCGTAAAGCAGTGCAGCATTGTCGTAAAGAGAGAAGAAGCAGGAGGCCGTATTAAAACTTTCACCTAATGACAACTTTGTAAACGCTCAAGTTCCTCAACTATTTTCTTCTTTACTTTGAGAAACTTGGCTGGCTTCTTGTGTCTCAGTTTTTGCATATCCGTATGGCCGCTTGACTTTCGGTCAGATAATCACGCCATTGTACTCGGCTTACCTGATCATGCTGACATTGCACAACCTGTCGAAGGATGGCTGCGCTAAAGTGCGCCCTTCCAAAGTCCCAAAGTGACCTCGAATTACTAATATTAGCTTAATGAAGTGAAATTGTCGTTCTAAAAGCGACTGGGATTCAAAGACTTCATAGTTCAAGGTTCCTGCCAAGCAAAGCTTGTTTCTTCGACCATGGCTTCCCACTACCCCCAAGGGTACCTAAACCAATTCCTACCAACCATCATGTCTCAGCAACCTACAATGGTCAAGGCAGTCTTCTTCGACTTCATGGGAACTTGCCTCAACTGGCATGCCAGTGTAGTCGAAGCCTTACCCGCCACCATTCCAAAGGAAGAGGCGTCAAAGTTCGCGCTCGAATGGCGCAGACAATACTTTATCGAGATTGCAAACCGGCATGCGCAGGGTCTCGAGCCTGAGGATATTGACATTACGTTCGCGCGGGTCCTCGACAACCTGTTGGACCAGTCTCCTGTGTACGCCAGCCACTTCAACCCCGAGATCAAGATCGAGTTGATCAAAGCATGGCACTCGCAGCCAGCTTGGCCGGAAGTCTCAAAGGCAATCGAGAGCCTGCGCAACGACCTCGGCCTTGAAGTGTTTGTGCATGCCAACGGTACGACTCGCTTGCAGCTTGACCTCGTCCGTTTTTCAGGGCTGAGCTTCAACATGCTGTTTTCTAGTCAGCTTTTGGGTGTCTATAAGCCTAGCCCCATTGCGTATGAAAAGGCCTTGCAGCTTGTCAAGCTCAAGCCTGAGGAAGTGGTGTTGGTTGCAGCGCACGCATATGATTTGCGAGGCGCGCAGAAGGTCGGGTTGAGGACCATCTATGTTCATCGATGGACTGATGATGTCGATGAGGATATGGACAAAGTTCGGTCCGAGTTTGATATATTCCTGGAAGACATGACAGACTTGCCCAAGGCAGTCGGTAACTTGTGATTCATAAGTCGGGTATGCCCCAATACCTTCACCTAGATTATTTCTAACATCATTCAATGAACTCACTCTATGTCTCTCAGCAAGAATGATGCTCAGTTCAGGTAAGAAAATATGAATCTGATTAGTGCAGCTAAGACAGTTCTATCGGCCTTCACTGATACAGGTGGTGTTCCTCAAACTGCCGGATTGGCGACAACATCCGCAATAACAGTGTCCAAATCCTCATCCTCCAGCCCCAAAGTCTTCATGGCAAAGTCATCGCGCTTCGTCCAGTTTGCATCCAATTGCCCGACAGCAAAGACAAGGTCCTCAATCGCCTCAGCGTCACCCGCATCGGCCTTGACCTTGTGTTCCGCGATGAAGCTCTCAGATTCGACCTTGTTGACAGTCCACTTGGCCCCCGTCGCCTTCTCCAAACTCTGAAGCAGCTCGTTCTGCGTGATGCAAAAGCTCTGGATGAAAAGGGTCTTATTCTTCGTCACCTCGGTAACGCCCAAGTTGAGAATACGCACAACAGCCTCGCCGACCCTCGGCAGCGTTGCGACAGAGGCCTTGATATCGCCGCCGTCAATGACGTCGATCTTCTTGGTGTCGAGGTACGCGTGCAAGAAACCCTCCTTGACACCCCAGTCGAAAAAGTGCCCGCAGACAATACCCGTCCACGCGAAATCCGGGTTCTTGTCCGCCAGTTCCTGCGCCTTTTGGCGCACGGCGCGCTTCCAGCGGTACAACGGGATGAGCTCCCTCGCGCGGGGGTTATCGGCGTCGATGCTGCCGAAGTCGGCGGGCATAAAGTGCTTCACGCCCGCCGCGGACGCTGCCTCGGCGATGCGCAGGTGCTGGTCTAGATCCCGCAGGCGGAAGCTGACGATGACGACTTCTTGTCCGGTAAATGCCTTTTTGAGACCCTCGTAGGAGAGGTCGTTGTCGACTTCAATGACTTGCACTTGGTCTGCGGGGTACGCGATGGTGCTCTTGGAGCCGGCGCGCTTCAGGGCGCTGAGCTTGAAGGATTTGGCGGCCACCAGGGAGTCTAGGATTTTGGCGCCTAGCGTGCCATTGGCGCCGACGAGGAGAACAGATTTCGGTGCCATGTTTAAAGGTATGTTGTGTTTGTTATTCCCGTCGTTGGACTTGAGAGAAGAATGGCCGCTTCTTTGTTTGTTTCGTCAATGATACTCTGATTTCTGATCAGATATGCCGTACTCGAACCCAAGATGGACAGCTTGGGGGGACATTAGGCGACTTCAGCACTGACTCACATCATTCAACAGCTTTCGGGATAGCTTACCGAGTTCCTTCAGTCTGCCGTCGGGGTGGGGTCCGTAAGGGGCCGGTCTAGGCGGGACATTGAGCAGAACATCCGCTGGTGTTTTCCTAACAGAGAAGGTTATCGCGGTTCTTAGCGTTCGCAGCCAAGTTCTGTTAGTGCTCGGTGTGCTCAACCTCATCTCATCCAAGACCCCTCATTGAGGACCCCAACGGGGTTAAAGATGTCCAAATCGGGAGCCTTCCGGCTCCGGGCAACGTAAGATCCACTCACGCCGGGGCGGAGGACGCAATTAAAGATCATTGACGTTGAGATCTATATCGTCGCGACTTCGCGTTTATATACTCTTCCCTGAAAGAGTCCAAGGGGTTGTTGGCGCCCTTTTCCACATGATTTCCCCGCAATCTAACCATCTGTCGTATAAAACTCTCCGTCAAGCCTAACTCCGGACGCGTTGGCTAGGGCTCAAGCTGTCTCAGGCCAGAAACATGGTGCTATGCGGAGGCAATAAAAGGGCTGGAAGTCTACTGATTCTCGGATATCACCTTATTGTTCTACATACAGTCCCATTCTACTAATAAACCAAGTCGTCTCAAGTACATAATCAGCCATGTCTTCCAAGCGTATCGTCCTCATCACCGGAGCCAACACCGGTATTGGCTATGAAACAGTCAAGATCCTGCTGCAATCCGACAGGGCATACCACATCATTATTGGATCAAGGTCCCTTGAAAAAGGCGAATCTGCCCTTGCCGAACTTAAAAAGGAGGTGCCGTCCACCGCAAGCTCTTTGGAGGTCATTCAAGTGGATGTGGCCGATGATGATTCAATCATTGGCGCCTTCAAGAGTATCAAAGAAAAGCATGGGCTGCTCGATGTCCTGATTAACAACGCCGGTACGTCTTCATCCCAGGCATAATCACGACCCAAGAATGAGTCTAACGGATAACTTGTAGGCGCCTCCCATGATTTCGGGCCTCACAATTACAACCCCGAGGACATCAAAGCTATTCGCCAGAACATGAACAAGTCTTACGACGTCAACACATCCGGAACACACGTCATGACCCACGCCTTTGCCCCTCTTCTCATCAAATCCTCCGACCCTCGTCTTCTCTTCATCACCAGCGGACTCTCCACTCTCAATGGCATCGAAAGCGCCGGCCTGCTCCCATTCCAGCCAGGGACCATCACGGCTGCCGGCTGGCCCAAGCCTTATACCCCTCAAGCCGGGTACCGGTCTAGTAAGACTGCGCTGAACATGGTCATGCAGAACTGGCACTGGCTTCTCAAGGCAGACGGGGTAAAAGTGTGGTGCATCTCCCCCGGTTTCCTGGCTACGGGGTTGGGAGGAAATCCGGATGCGCTGAAGAAGATGGGTGCGGGTGCGCCAAGCCAGGGAGCCAGGCTGATTCAACAGGTTGTTGAGGGGGAGCGAGATGCTGATGTTGGCAAGGTTGTCAACAAGGACGGTATCCAACCTTGGTAGCTAGACAAGTTGGCTGATAAACGAGACTCAGGTTCTGAAAGTCATAATATACAAGCAAGGCTTCTCTCTAGAGAACTCTAGGAACGGTTTGACCTGAAACTCAACACGTGGGCTAAAGATCGGCATCAATGTTATTTCTATCACTTGCCCTTGACCTCGTGCCAAGCAAGTCATCCACAGTCTGCCCCACCCGCTACAGCGGTCGCGGCGGCCCGAAGTAGTCGCTGTCCATTGCTTCGGCGATCCAATGGTTATCTTCTCGAGCCTCTTTGCGGAAGAATGCTCCAACAACAGCATCCTCTGCGTCTTCAAGATATTCGAATTCTGCTGTGCCCGCTGACGGTCGCCATATCTTGATGCCATGGCCGTGCAGTCTCATGTAGGTCAAGTGATTACACTTTGCGGCGACGATCTCTGGCTTGAGGTATTCCACTTTCTTTACTCTTTGAAGGGGGTCTCCCCTGTGCCCTCTGTTGGTTTTGAATTTAGGATACTCTATGGAAAGCTTTTTCAAGCCCTTCATGTTCGCAAGAATGTCAATCAGGCCGTAGGGTGCCACCGTGGTGTCGATGGTGAAGCCGATGGAGGTGATCCAGTGGCAGGACTCTAGGACTTTGAACATGTCCCAGTTATCAGGTGCATCCTTGCCGTTTTCAATCCAGGTCTGTGGTATGATGAGCTCTTTAGCTCTCAGGACCGTTTCATTGTCGAGCATGTCGGGGATGCCTTCCTCATAGTTTGGGTCGAAGATGAATGTTTGAGGGTCTACGCGAAGACTGAGTTGGCTTGCGTATTCTTCGTCTAGCTCTTCAAAGCAATGACCTATGCCTGCTTCCCATGCCCCGATGGTGAGTTGACGGAGGTTCGGCATTGTGCTCGGGTCAATGGCGTAGAATGCGAGCTCCGGGGCATCCGGTGGGCTATTCCCTCGCATGACGGCACTCTGATTGAAGAGTCGGAATTCTTGTAAATGGTTCAAGTCGGTCAGTTTGTCGAGATAATCAAACCCGCCGTCCTCGTCTTCGCAAAGAAGGACGGGATAGTACAGTTTGAGAGATTTGAGGCGGAGGGGAGGGTGACCAAGATCTCCATAGCGATTTCCCAAATTCATGAGAAAGTCGTAAAGCTCATCACGATCGTCTGAATCAGCAAAGCTATCCGCCGTCGGTCGAGAAAGAGACAGGCTCAGATCAGTGAGCTTTGGGGAGGAACCCAAGATACAGGCTATGGTTTCTATCCACTTTGGGATAGGCCCCTGCAGCCCAGTTAGGTGAAGTCCGGTCAGGCCGGAGAAGACACTGAAGTCGGCAATGCTGTATTTCAAGTCATCGGGAACAGGCATGATGGGCTCCGGGTCTCGCCAAGAGTCATCGTCGCGACAGTATCTGTCAGCACCGGGCTCATGTGGGTGGGCTTCCAAATCGAAGGAGATGTCTTCCAAGTTGGGGCAGCAGTGGTTTAGAGCCTTTAAGGTTGCGGAGGAGAGGAAGAATTCTCCGTCTTCCAAGCTTGAAACGGCCGTTAGCGTGCAATCCTACAGGGCTGAGGGTAGTGCCTTGAGTGCTAAAGGTGTGACGAACACAAATCTCTTGACATTTGGGGTGTTTGCCAACAGTCGTCTGAGCTGGGAGTTGCAATTTCGAACATGATCGTCGAGTTCGATCTCACGGCTGTTCCATTCGAAGCCCTTAGGTCGGAAGTGGATGACTTTTATGTGGCGGGTTTCTGGGGATTCCTTGACAAGCCATTTCTGTGGAGGGTCGTCCTTGACAAAGTGATTGTAGCCCAGATAGACCTCGGCGTACAGGAATTCACTGAAAGCGTCTCGGAATGCCTTGTTGACGCGACACAATGCCCTCAGTGTCTTTTTGTTGGTCGCCTGTTGTTACCAAAGGGTACTGGTAGTTAGACCACATCCGAAAGATGTTCTGCGTGTTTAGATTCGAAATGTTGACTTGCAAGGTATTGTCCGATGATACGCAACAACTCTGGCGCGAGCGACACCATACTGGCCGATAACCACGTGCTTATGAGTTCAGTTTCGTAAATGAAAAGATGTCCGATTGCTTTTCATTGACTTAAAGAAGGAAATTATTGGAGTTATTCGCAGATGATGTTGAGGGAGGAGGATCGTCGCGTCTGGATGGCATGGCTTGCAAAGTACACCACATGTCCAGGTTACGTAAGGTGAGGTCGTGTTTGTGGGTTTTATTGTGTAAACTCAAAAGGCGACTGGGAGATTGCTTTTCGACAATCACTTCTAAAAAAAGAAAGGCAATTCAGCATATCACTTTACCAGTATCTGTTAATATGTCTGCTCCTGGAATACTCGGTTGATGTGTTTACAACCCCTTTTTCGGTGACCCTCCACGTCGAAGATACATCGCAAGGTACCTTTAGTCTGATGACGGGAGTCTCTAAGGCAGGCATGAAGAAAAAGGTACCTGCCTAAAGGTTGTGGTCGGCAGGAAGCACCCGGGAAGCACAGCGAGGCAGGTGTATTTCTAGCGGAGGAAGGCACGTAAAGGCAGGCAATTGACTACTCAGGTACCTAATGGACAACCTCCCGCCAGTCCGCCAACCACCAGCCAACGTATCTGCAAATTCACCACACCCAACACCATTCGTTTGCAATAGGGAATACACGACTCGTGGTAAAACATCAATTTGAACGGAATTATTGTCAACGTATCTATCCATACAATGACATTTCTCACAGACATTTTCCACCTGGAACCCGCCCCGGGCCACGAGCACACGCACACCGTCATCCTCCTCCATGGCAGAGGCAGTGACGGCAAAGAATTCGCAGATGAGTTCTTTGAATGCGAAGTCTCGGAACACCTGGCACGAATCCTGGACGATGGCCCTGAACAGCCCAACAACCCCCTGGACGACACACCAGCGCCACCACCCCCTCGAACCCTCCAAGCCCTGTACCCAACCTTCAAATGGGTCTTCCCCAGCGCACCGTCGATCCCATCCAAACGTTACAAAACGGACATGACCCAATGGTTTGATATGTGGTCTACAGAGAACCCAAACGAGCAAGAAGAATTGCAAGAACCGAGCCTGTCTGAAAGCATCGACTTCATCAACCGCCTCATCGACCGGGAATCCCACGTGGTGTCACCGGACAAGATCTTCCTGGGCGGCATCAGCCAGGGATTCGCGACAGCTGTCGCGGCCTATTTGACACGCTGTAAAGCCTTGGGCGGCCTTATTGGCTACGCTAGCTGGGCCTACCCAGGCCTTTCGCCCTACCAAGTCCCAACCGGTCCTGTCGCCAGCGATGATGGCAAGTGGAAGATAAAGTGTGGTGATGTGAACTACCAGATGGCACGCACGCCAATTTTCCTTTCCCACGCTCGCGACGACCCGACGGTTCCGGTGAAGAACGGAAGAGCCCTATGCAAGGCCCTACACAACATTGGCTTGAAAGAAGTCCAATGGCACGAATACGAATATGGTGGCCACTGGATCACCGAGCCTGATAGCATAGATCAGCTCGTCTACTTTATTCATCGCAATATTGGCCTCCTGGAAGATGACTCAAGATGAAGGGTGGGCTGGTCAAGGGAGATGATGTTGTAGAGGGACGGAGAGGAGAAAAGTCTTGGTTTGGAAATTAGCGAACAGCGACATGCTCCAGGCCTTTATAAGCCGGAATCAGTGCACAATTTGAAGCAGGAAGCGTATCAAATGTTATATTATAGGTAATTCGTAATCGACAACTTGTAGCAAAGCGAGTAGAACGTACGGAACAAGGGTATTGAAAGGAGATGTCTATGGGAAGCCAAGCAGAAACATGGTGAGAAGCGAAGCAAAACAACAGCCCAAGGTAGTGGTGATTAGTAGGTGACCGTTGCAACTTTGGCAACATATTTGTCGTCTCCATTCTTTTGCAAGATGTTGTCAAACATCCACTTGCCAACGTCTTCACGGGCAATGCTGTACCCAATGGCCAGTTCCTCAACACCCTTGACGGGGTCCTCGACGCCCACCCGGACTGTGCCTGCGGGCTGCTCCTTTCCGTTGGTCAGGAAGCTAGCGCGCACCACCGTCCAGGCTTCACCACTCGCAAAGAGAAGTTCCTCCATGGCTTTCTTGTCCATGTGCGGGGTGTGCAAGAGGCCCTTGTAGAGAGGTTGAATAACGAGGGGCGTGTCTCTGCCAAACTTGGAAATGCCAGTGCTGCTGAGCCCAATGACACGCGGCCGTCCAGAGACGCCCTTTTCGGTGCGCAGCTTCTTGATCGCGTCGAGCAACACAGTCATGCCCTTTTCGCAGACGTTGACGTCCTCGAGGTTCATCTTGCGCAGCTCAAACCAGGCGCCGATGGAGGAGACGACGGCGTCGACGAAGCGGGTTGCGTCAAGGGGCGAGACGATGCATCTGGCAATCACGTCGGCGTCGTGGGCGTTGCCTTGTTCGATGCGGAGGTTGGGGTACTTTTCGGACGGGAGGACGGAGGTCAGCTTGGACGGGGTGCGGCACAGGGCTATGCACGTGAAGCCGGCGTCGAGGGAGCGGCGTAGAGCTGAGAGTCCGCAGCCGCCAGTGGCTCCGAGGAAGAGAATGGTCTTTGCGGAAGACATGATCGGCGAGTGATCCGTGGCGTGCCGTGTAAGCGCCCAGGTAATGGGGTTTCGGGACGGAACCGAGTACGGATGCGAGAGGAGAGACCGAGCGCGGGATTGCGGATCGGGGCCGGGGGGTTATTGGGAAATCGGTTCCACTGAGGTGTTTGAGATCGACAAGAGATGAAAAGAAGATTCTTTTTGTCCTAGAAGGTGAGACTAATTTTGGTGAGGATTCAGAGTAATGATTTAGAATGATGATCAAGTCTTCTAATTCCACTCGGAAAGCGAGAACTCCATCGCCTTTTATCCTACCAGAAGTCCGCGTCAATAACGCTTGGGGGCCTCGAAGGACACGATTGCGATGCAAAGTCCGCAAGCCACACGGAGCCGTGAGAGTGCATAGTTAGGCCGAATCACCGTGTGTGCGTGTATGGCTTACATGTTTGGTAGGCGACAGCGTCGAAGGAATCGAGGCCAGCCGTCGTAATGCTTGTTTTGGGGTGAGGGAATGCCACCAGAAGAGGCCACACGGCCACAGGGCTGGAATACGGTTGGAATGTTCCTCCGCTCGATGTGGTGGCGTCCAGTCGGAATGCTCTGATAGACGTAGAGGGTCAAGCCACATTTGGCTTATCGGGACTCGTGGGCCCTGTGGTGGATCTTTACTATGGGTCTTTGCACGGGATTCGACCCCGGTGGCTTGACGCTAGTCTAAGTCTAGTTAGGACACGGGCTGGTAGGGCCGCCTGGTTGGGAAGGCAGCGGGTCGACTCGCATTCCAAATCCGGCTGGAGAGAAGTCCCTGGACAACTCGACTCGGATCCCATCGTCAACACTCCAATGCTCTTTTACTGACATCTTCAACTCTCTCAGTCTCCATCACCGAAACCCTGCGCCTCCCAAGATGAAGCTTCTCCAGTTTGCTGTGGCCAACACACTTTTCAAAGAGCGGCCATAGTTCACCAGCACAGACCATCGTATCGAACCTACGGCTATTCACTCTCTCGTCTTCCCAAGTGACTGACCTCACTTGACCAACTCTGGCTTCCACTACCAGAGTGTATTCTCGAATCCGTGCGCATTTGACGCATCGTGAATTTCTGCTCGTCTCCGCGATACAAAACCTATGCGACTCGAGATGGCACATGTCGACCCGACTTGCCACGTCCCACTACTGTCCCCGGCGTACATTCAGCCAGCAAACCCCCGTCGCCTCCCTCACGCGAATGCATCGTACAGAACTGGATCGGGCAATTGGCTTCGAGCTCACCGATCACTCCCTGATCTATAACGACTTTGCTACCCACCATCGAGACAAGAAAGTCCCTGCAGCATCTCGCAGCTCACTTCCCCAACCCAACTCAACAGCACAGACTGTGACGTTTCGGCGTGGCATTGGTGGGAGCGCTGAACACTTGACTACAACCCAAGAGAGGGGACTCAGCCCGCAGAAGAGTCCGCACGACTAATCACCCATTTGAGAGATGGCACCATGTCGCTTCCGTTTGAGTTTCGTCCGATTCCATCACCCAACTTTCATTCGCAATCTGCCTTTCCACAGTCCAACGCTCCAAGGAAGTGCCCGGACAACAAGGAACGCACCTGGAAAGTTCTGTTCGGTTTGAGCATGTTTGTGGCCCTTACCAGCGGCCGTTGTGCCGTTCAGATCACAAGCGCAGACAAAGCAATCCTCGGCCAGATAAACCCATGTTGCAGGCCAGGCCCATGCCGTTTCGTAGATCTCTGACGCGGGTCCCAAGCTTGTCGATGAGAACTCTCCGTCGTATTAAGATCGCGGCATGCCGCTGCACAGTCATCTCGTCTTAGCCTTGACAGACGTCGTCAACGCCAAGGGACTCGGACAGATCGAAGAGAGCCTCTCTACTACACAACTAGGCACTCGCGCCGTCCAGCATTCTCTAATCCAAAAATGCTCGTGGGAAGGTCGGTTCCGGAACTCATCCTCGTGAGGTCTATGGTCATATACTTTCAGTACCTCGGGTTTCTCTGCTTCCTCTACTTTTGGTTCATATTCGCACTCGCTGGTGTACCCGGCATCGCTCATCCCATATCCATCCTCATCGAAGCCATTGGCATCGTCGAAATCGTCTTTTATTTTGCCTGGTTCGTACCGTATCGCCGTCGTCTACAGAAACCCGGCCTACAACCAGAGCCTCTGAACCAGGAAGAACGCCGGCGGTTCTTCTACCAGGGACTGGATCACGCACCAGATGTCGAGCAGTACATCCGGAAATGGCACTGTAACGCCCAGCTCGGCGATATTCGCAGGGACAATGTCAAAGACTGGCTGATGTGGGCATTGTTCGACAAGCAAGGCAACCCGCAAGAGCATGACGAAGAACTCGAGGAGTACATTGCGGAAACCGAAGAGCGGGCTGGAGTCAATATCAAGAGAGGCTTTGGAGACGCAACACCGATGCGACTCAGTTTTGATTCCATTACAATCACCCACCGGAGCCTGATGTATTACCTTGTAAGTGTCTCTGTAGTCAACATTATCCTCGGCTTAGCCGGAGTTGGAGACTAACGCATTCAAAAGACTACTGGCACCCTCGACTTCTTCGCAACCCTTGTCCTCTTTATCAGAGGCTTCAAATTCTACCGTCAACCACGCAACACCTTCTTCTCCGTCTTCCCATGGCGGCCCATGACCCTCTTCTCACCCAACGAGTCTGCCGACCCGAAGCTAAGCTACTTCTGCCGCCCGCACACGTCGGAGACCAAGCGTCCCATCCTCTTCATGCACGGCGTCGGCGTCGGCATGCTCCCGTATCTACTATGGCTTTGGAGCATTCCCAAGGACGTCGGCGTGCTCTGCATCGAGATTCTCCCTGTCTCCTCGCGCATTTGCCCCCCTCTGCAGACGACCAAGGAGCTCGTCGACGGCATAGACGCCATCATCAAACAGCAAAACTATAATGACTTTGTCTTTGTCGGAAACTCCTTTGGCACGCTCTTCGTTTCTCCGCTGCTACAAAGACCCGACATGGCGGCAAAGATCAACTCCATCGTTCTCATCGACCCCGTGTCACTGCTCCTCCACCTCCCCGCCGTAGCCTACAACTTCACGCGGCGCACACCGAAATGGGGCAACGAATGGGAAATCTGGTTCGTCGCCACAGATCCTATGGTTGCCCACACCCTTGCCCGCCGTTTCCGTTGGCAAGACTTTATCCTATGGACGCCCCAGCTACAGGGAAAGCGCACCACCGTCGTCCTCGGCGGCGAGGACTGCGTCACCGACCCAGATGCCGTGGCGAGCTACGTCTACTTTGGCGATCTCAACTACACGCGGCACGACAAGCCCGAGTGGGCGACGACGCCTCGGAGATGGAGCGGGAAAGGGGAGCTGGAGCTCATGTACCTGGCCGGCATGGATCACGGCCAGGCCTTTTTGAGCATCAAGCATATGCCGCAGATTGGTAACGTTGTGATAGCCTATACGCACCTTAGCGGGGTCATGGACTCGAGGCAAGCGGATGTCGCCAAGGAGGAAGAAGAGAACCAGATTTGAGACGATGTCATGATTTATGAGGCGTTTTTCGGTTACTCCTGGATGGGCAGGCTGCGTGCGTTCTTTTTGCGACGTGGCTGAGGAGTGGATGGTCTGGGAACCTGCCCTCATCTTTGTTATTTTGCAACGTGTATTATCTTTGACCCTCTTCCTCTCTTACATATCGCTGTCTCTGATTACCCTGTGACCTTTGGAATGTTAGTATGATGCTAGCCTCATAGCATCAGATGTAAGGATATCTGATCAAAGCCCGTGATGGCGTTTCCGCTTCGCACCCTATGACCACATGTGAACCTCGACAAATCCTTTACATTATCACAGTCACCACATCCAGATTTCATCATCAGTCAATCATATTCGTCCCACGGCAAGAGCCCCGTCTTCTGATATCCAGGAATATGCGGCTGCAACGGCGCACAACACTCAATCCTAACCCCCTTCCTCCCAAGCCTATCAACCTCCACCAACCTCACGCGCACAGGAACCTCATGCCTCTTGACCTGAGCGAACCCTCTACTCCTCCAGTTCCGTGCAACATCTCCCTCGACTTGGACCTTGACCTCCACATCCGTCTCAACAAACTGATCCAGCCCACCAGACACGGCAAACTGCGTATCCCCCCACAGCACATCAACCTCCAAATCAGCCTGCGCCTCACAAGCATGACACCACACCTTCCACTCCCCATCCACCCTCCTCCACCCGACGACAACATCCACTTGAATCCGCGCGTTCGTCGGCGACTCAAACCGCAACCCGGCAAGCACCGGCTCAAAATACGGGTTCCCCGTCCTCAGAATCCCCAAACTCGGCACCCACGGCCCCGTGGGATATGAATCGACAACCCGATACGCCTCCCGGGCGCCGCCCGCCTTCCAACCCGCCTTGAGGACAGAGATATCCGGTAAAACATACGTCGGGCTCCGCTTGACGAAAACAGTCTTGTAGCTTCCCCGCCCCGGCCTCGTCGAATCCGGCGCCGGGATCACCGTGCAGACACTCCCCGTCCGGACCCGGGCGTACTGGTTCCCCGACAACTTCCTCAGCATGATGCGCGGGCACTGATCCCCGTTCTCGCCCTGGATAGCGCAGTCCAAAACAGCGTAAAAGTCGTCCGCCGCGCTGCCCTCACCGCCGCCTCGGTCATCGTCCACGGGCTCAAGGTACATGGAAATCCTGATCCCCTGGTTCGTAAGCTGGATCGGCTGCTGCCCCGTCGTCCCGAACGCCGGCAACGGGCGAAGGTACTGAAACTGGGAAAACTCAACCGGCGACGGAGCGAGCAGGCCGCTGAGGATATGTTGGTCAAACGCCGCCTCCTGCGTAGACGTCTCGTAGTTGCTGTGCCACGCGAAAATGGAATGGTCTCCCGTATCCTGGAGTATGGCCTCCTGCAGCCGCGCAAAAGCCTTCATCCCCTCGCCGTACAGCAGCGGCATGTTGACGCCAAAGATGCCCATAAGGCTGTAGGCCAGGTCCT